GAGTTTGGGAGGGATTCGAAGCTTCCATAGAACTCTCCACCAAGGGTTTAGCCAATCTGCCTCCTGAAAAAGCAAGCTGTAAGCAGACTTGACAGAGAATAACCCATTAGAAGTAGGTTTCCAGATCCGGCAATCCTCCAATAATCCCTGAAAATCAGCTGAACAACCAGTAACTTTTTCGACCCATTCCTCAGGGAGAACACTCCTCAACTTCTCCACATCCCACCAACCATTCACAAAAAAATCAGAAACAAGGGAATTCAAATTGAGATCAGGAGCAAGGTCCACTGTCTGCATCAAAGGTATATCACTGATCCATTTATCTCTCCAAAACTTAACCTTGTCGCCTTTCCCGAGTCTCCAAGATAATCCTTTGTCAAGCAGTTGAGCACCAAACATAATCCCCTTCCAAGTAGGAGAACAATTTTGTTTTGGGGCCAAATTAGGCTCACAAAAGGAATGGCTCTTAAAATACTTCTTTTCAAAAATTTGGGCCCATAACCCCTCATCCTTCCTCAATAACCTCCAGCCAACTTTAGCTAGTAGAGCTTGATTCATATCATGAGTTTTCTTCAAACCCAACCCTCCCTTACTTTTGGGTTTACAAACAAGGTCCCACTGGCACAAGTGGATCTTATGCTTCTTCGCACTGCCTCCCCAAAAAAAATTGCGATTCACTTTATCTAAATCCTCACAAGTGCTCATAGGGAGTTTAGAGGTTTGCATTGCATAAATTGGTATAGCTGAGGTGACAGCTTGAATTAGAGTAGCCCTTCCAGCTGTAGAGAGAACCTTACTTTTCCAAGAAGCCAGTCTGGCATGCATTTTGTCCACAAGATTGCTATAAGTAGCCTTAGTTACCCTAGAGTGTAACAGAGGCATCCCCAAGTAATTGCCTAGGTTCGAAGTGAGAGGAGAACCACATATACTACTAATATTAGCAGCCATTTCTTTGCTAATATTAGGGGAGCAGTATATTGCAGACTTTTCAAAGTTGACAATCTGACCAGAAGCTTTACAGAAGAGGTCCAAGCAATTCTTCATTATTCTTGCTTGGTGAGTACTAGCTTCAGCAAAGAGAATTAGGTCATCAGCAAAAAATAAGTGGGATACAGCAGGCCCAGCTTGGGAAGCTTTCACCGGTTTCCATATATTCTTTCCCACAGCCTCCACAATGAGGTGTGAGAGCTTTTCAATGCAAAGAACAAAAAGATAAGGTGAGAGTGGGTCACCCTGTCTAATACCATTGGACGGAGTAAAAGTCGAAGTGAGCTCCCCATTCACACAGACTTGATAGGTGACAGAAGAAACACACTGCATGATCAACTGAATCAAGGTAGTAGGCAAACCTATTTCATGAAGAACTACCTCGATAAAATTCCAACTCAACCGATCATAGGCTTTAGATAAATCAATCTTCCAAGCCATAAACCCTTTTTTCCCCTTAGTACTCCGAAATTTAAACATAATCTCTTGGGCAATGAGGATATTATCTGTAATATGTCTACCGGGAACAAAACTCACCTGATGGGGACTGATTAGCTTAGGCAGAATAGGCCTCAGCCTAGCAACAATCACTTTAGAAATCACTTTATAAAGAGTGCAGCAAAGGCTAATAGGGCGAAAGTGCATCATAGAAACAGGGTTAGCCAATTTAGGAACTAGAGTGATGAGAGTAGCATTCAAACCTTTGAGAATGTGACGCTCCCTGAAAGCTTGAGAAACCAGGTCATAAATGTCATTACCACACATATTCCACTGATTTTGGTAGAAGCAAGCAGGAAACCCATCCACTCCAGGGGCTTTGAGACCACCTATATTGAAGAGACTTTCCTTGACTTCACTAATATCAACACGAGCCAATTAAACTCAGGAATTTGATGCCCCAATTTCCACGCTTTTTTCCACAAGTCATTTAATAAAGGCAAAATGTCACTTTTGATCCCTGTAGTTTGCCACTTTTACCACTTTGGTCCCTGTCGTTTCAATTTGGTCAATTTTGTCCCTGTGGTTTCAATTTGAAGCAATTCAAGGACAATCCTCAATTTTTGTCAATATTTTTTAGGAAAATGCTAGGGAGACCAACTTGGGATACCAACTTGTGTACCAACTCTCTAATAGAGCGTGAGACCCATTGTATTGGTGGGCTCCACCTCTATTAGAGAGTTGGTACACAAATTGGTATCCCAAATTGGTCTCCCTAGCATGACCTTTTTTTTTAACTTCTGTTAGTTGTGGAGGGGTAATTCGGTCCACAAATTAAACAGAGAGAGAGACTGAGACTGAGTGACAGAGACAGACAAAGACAGTTTTAAAGAATGAAAGGCTTATTATCACAAAACATCCCTGACGTTTGTGAAATTATCACATTGCATCCCTAACGTTTTTTTGTATCATTAATGGTCCCTAACGTTAATACATGTACTCTTAAATAATCCTTCTGTCAAAAAAACCGTTAAATCTAGGGGTATAATCGTCAAATCAATCCAAAATTATAATTTTTTTTTCTTCCCTTCTCTCTCTCTCTCTCTGTTTCTCTTTTTTTTTTTTTCTCCTCTCTTTCCTCCTCTTTTCTTCTTCTTTTCCTTCGCTGTTTCTTCTTTCTCTCCCTTTTTTTTTTCTTCT